GTAAATATGGCAATTCATCCAGGAGAAATAAAAAAAGACAATAAATCAGTCAGTCAAAGGAGCTGTAGTGAAGAGTGGGAACAGCTTTGTACGCTGTTTGTCTAGTCGATAGCATCATTTACTATATAAATAACGAACTATGTGAACATTTTATTGCTTTCCGCACACATTTTCCACAGCTGGCAAGCGTGTTTGTTTATGTATCTATGAACCATTCTGCAAATACTGCTCTCAAGCTGCCCGTGTGTCAGAATTATAAATGTACATTGTTACAAGTTTATTTGCAAAATTACGCATATGAACCTAAAGTTATCTGTCTAGCTTTGTTGCTTATTTTTTGACAGTTATAAATGTGTAGATAATTTTCTTTCCTTGGTACATTTTCAATTGTCATGTTTTTATTTTCAGGCAGAGAGAATTGCCAGAGTGTCATCTAGTGCACCCTACTGGCCAGATACAACTTAAAAAGTTTGAGGATCTCACTTGCTTAGGTAGGTTGAAATACTTCATACTCCTTTCCTGTGTCAGAAAACACTGTTTTCTGTAAATTAATGCAGGTTTAGAGGAGGGATTTGAACCAGGCTGCTTATGATTCAGGAATTGCATTACCAACAAGACTATGGGCTGTTCAGGATACTCCTCTTTTTCTCTCCTGTTTTTGTGAATCCCTCTGAGTTTCTCTGTTTATTTCTCTCTCTCTCAGTTTCTCTAGATATTGTGACATACCTCACTTTCCCACATGACCTGCCCAAAGTTAAAGGACTTGCCTTTTCTTGGTCTCGGCTTATTCCCTATATCAGAATTGTATATTTGGAAGTCTTGTTTAATTTTAAAATGACCAGTTTGCTTGTGATGATAAGACTTCCATTAAAAATAGATTTCACTAGGTGAAAAAGGCTTAAATATGTCAAGCCTATTGTTAGGAAGAGGCTATTAAATTATCAAAGAGAATTCTTAATCACAGATTTTTAAAAAAAAGATTTAAACCAAAGAAATCAGTTCTTCAAATCCAAGGTTTTTGCCTGCTGTTTAGGGGAGACAGGGTTCAGGACCTTTGTGCCTAAGTTTTTTTGTTGGTCCAAGGAAAAAAATAATTTTTTCAAATTCTGTTACTATAAATGTGCATACTCCAACAAATTTCTTAATTGGTCTCTAACAAATCCCTTAAATGGTCTCCAGAAAAGAATATGAAAGCAGTGGTGGCACTTCAATGTAAACCAGTTATTTTGAACAGCAAATATCAAATACTGCTTAACTGAGATCAGTGTGTTAGTCATGTTCTTTCCAGTTAGTTTGTTTGCACTTAGTGTTACATCTCTCCCATAAGGAGCAGAGGATGCCAGAATCCTGCTTTTTTAGCGCTGCGTAAGTGTGGGACCAGAGCCTTTGCTGGTATGGGGCTATTCTGTCAATGCCACAGCTTTAGTCTGACACTAAAAGAAGCGTAAGTGCCTCAGAAGTGGTTTCCCTATTAAAGGTGGATGTCACTTTATTTTTTGCAGAGTTGGTATCAATCCTTGCATTGCACTGGCACTCCTACCTGCTGTTAGCATGGTGGGAAATGGAACAGGGGCTGCAAAATGTGGAAATAACAGATGTGTCCTTCAGATACGGTGAAGCTTGGTTGGACTTTTGGCCCCTGTTCCTGAAGACTCACTGGTTGCTTCGTGGCAGCCTAATGTACTTCACACGATGATGGGGTTTTTTGGACACTTGAGAGATATGCATAAATATAAGGAAAACCACAGGAGTAAATCTTTGCAAGAGTGTTATCCTTTGAATGTTGTTGTAAATAAATAAAGAGAATAGCATATTGGAAGGATCCATAACAAACATTTTACAAAACAGTCTTATTTTGAGTTTTTGCTGATGCTGTATGAAGCGGTCAGATTGACTTCACATCTTGTTGAAGGTGCCTTGTGGAAGATTCCACCCTCAAAGTAATCTTCATGGTAGAATGAATGTGAATAGTCAAGGTGTAGTGATACTTCCTAGGCTAACATTTTGGTATCTGCCTTGGTAAAGACATACCAACTTTTTTTTGCATCTCAGAAAGATATGGTGAGGTTCCAAGGGGAATTAGGGGGTCTTCAGTTTGATCTTTCTGCTGAATTTTACTTTGGTTAATTATTTAAATTTCATTTAATAAAATGCATTATTCTTCATTTCCTGTCGTAACATGCAATGCAGGGTTCATATGACACTACATAAAGAGTTGTGTTTCATACTACAGATAGACGTGCTTTTGGAGCCCTTAAAGGGGGAAGTATTACATATGTATAAAATTATATCAACTGCTCAGTAAAACTTTAAACAGAACACTATCAATAATTAATAAAAATAATAGCAACTGTTTATACTTAGCATTTTCCACTGCATTACTTCTCATTAAACGTATAAAGGTTGTCAGAGTGGGGAAGCTCTGAAAATAGAGAGAGGATTGTTTCCGCTGGTCAAACTTGGGAGTGGTTTTCTGATGAATAACATAAATTAGTGATCTCAGTCTGGTTTTGACCCATAAGTAGCAATACGGAGTGATGACATTACTATAGCTGAGGTCACAGTTCCTTAGCTTCGGCTTTAATGTTTTTGTGTCCCATGACTTTGACTGATGTTGGCAGGTATGATGGGTAGTGTATTGCTTGCTCTCCAGGGTTGGAGACTGCGGCTATAAGCAGCTTCTTTTGCTGCTCTCACTCTACATTGGGTGTAAGAAGGAAATGTGAATATATGAAGGCTTAAATTTGCTTTCAGTGTTTGCCAGGATGTAACTGAAAATATTTGCAAGTAAAAAGAGGGAAAATGTCTAGTTTTGGTAAAAAGTTGGCCTGATTGCACCATCAACAAAAATAATCCAATGCATGTGGGTAAAGCACAGAACAAATGGCTACTTCTGCATAAACATGTTTTAGAAATTGTGCTGGTAATTATGACATTAATCTTTCTGATGTTATAGTTAAGCAGCATTATTTGATGCCCTCTCCTCCTATCTCATGCAGCCAGGGAGCTGACCCAAACAGAAAAAACGGAGCAGATTCAAATGGTAAGTGTATCTACTTATCCAGTGCCAGGGTAACACCTTAATCCTGGATGGCTTTGGTGAGTTTTCAAATCACTGCATCCAGTTTTGTTGTTAATATGGACTCTTCCAGCATTTTATTTTAAACTTTGCCAGTGTGAGCAGTCTGAGAGGTAGTCACCTCTGACGAAGACTGATAATGGTTGAGTGGAAGATGTGGTCAGTATCAGAGCAGCAAAAGAGCCCAGAGAGCTATGTGAGTGTGCAGGGGTGAAGATGAGGTAAGGGAGGGAGGATTAAACAATGAAAAGTGATGAGGCTTAAGAAAACAAAGCTACATTTGCTGCACTGCAGAAGTATACTGCCTTTTGATCTCAAAGGTATTTTTGGTGAGACATTTTTTTGCACTTCTGCTACTTGCCAATCATTTTCCTGGAAAACATGGTGTTCAGTAAACCTGAAAATATCCACCGCTCTTTGGGATGTCGAGTTCATTTAGTTGCAATTCAGAAATTGCAAGAAGGTTTCAGCTAATAAACAGCAATTTCCTCATTATCTCACCCAAAGGTGATGCAGATGTTTGAAACCTATGTGCGTACTGCATGTATCAGAAACGCTAAACATTTCATCTTGATTTCTCTTCAGTACCACCTACTTCCTGGAAAATCTGGAAGCCTTGCATTTACCACTTCAAATTCTCTGCCAAGTTCCTTTCAATTTTTTTTTCTCCATTTTTGTCTCACACGTTTATTATATGGTGACAAATGCAGTTTTCTTCTGACACCACATAATAGATGTGTGAAACACACACACATGTTCTAGTAAGAGACTGCTCTTTATTTCCTGGCTCCAGTTGCAAAACATGAGTCAGGGTTAGAAAGGTTTTACCTCTGTCAGAGATGTGTAATCTGCATCCTCAAACTTTCCTAGCATTTGCTACAGTAGCAGGGAAAAATGGCAAATCTGGTTCTTCTATTTCTCTGCTCAGTGTTTCCTCCTCCCCAAGCACATCTTTTTTTCATTTTCCAATCACCGTTCCCTTATATTGATTATATTTACTCACTTCAGAGGTTGGTGCTGTCATTTACAGGAAGAAAATACTTCTAGCTCCTAAAACAAATAATACCAGCACTCTGACTGCAGGAACTACAGCAGTTTTAGAGAAAGTATCCTCCTACTATTCTGGCTTTAATACAAAGAATAAACATTACTAGTCCATTTGCTGTGAATTTCAAGCACTATTTTCTCCGCATCAAGTGATACCTGATGTTCTGCTGTGTAATGGTAGGTAATGATCAAATAGCCTCTCAACCAGACTCTGGTGATGTAACATGCCTTATTTATATATACCAGTTTTAAGTGTTCTGTACAATTCTGCAGTGTGTAGGGGGCCTCAGCAAAATACAAAACCAGACTGATCTTTTGTGAACTAAAGTGGAACAAGCCCCATGTTACAAGTTAAAACAAAATCAAGCAAACAAGCAGGCAAAAAGAGAAAACTGAACACATTATCACTTCCTACTTGATCCAAACAGGCTAGGAATTTCATGTGGCAGGCAGTTATTCTGCAGTTACCCATGGGTGATTGGAAGCAGCAGGGACTATGGTGCTTCCATGTTAATGATAAATGGAGTTTTGTATTGAATTTTTTTTCTAAATTGTTTTATCCCACAAGGTCCTAGTTGTTGAGTTGCTCCTGCAATAGAATGACAAATAACTGGGTGACATGCTGTGAAAAATTTAGAAAATGAGAAATGCTATCCCATTTTCCAAACAGAGCAGAAACAACACTAATTCCATTAGGCAAGATGGAACAGACAATTAAACTGGGTATGCTTTTAATTTTGAAGCTAACCCAATAACTGAGGCCTTTTTCAAATGTAATGACTGTTGAAGTGATTCCTTTAAAGTGAAGCAAACCCACTGATTTTCCTTTCTAAAATTAAAGCATTTACCTTATACAAAGTATAAGAAATGTTACCTGTTGCCTCCACCATTCCTTCTAGGATTACAACAATTTCTAGCTCCTCTTTGGGCAACTGGGCTTTGGAAATCTCCCAGAAAGGACTCTGCTGGTTAATTTCATGGCTGATGATCAGTGGTGAAACCAAAAAGAGACGATCATCCCCTGTGTAATAACCTACGTTGATATCTGTCTGGTTGAGTGGTATAAATTCCCCCTCCTTTGTCTGTTTGGATTTGATCAACTTGGCTCGTATTGATGCCTCTACAATGTGTGAATTCCTAAGGTCTCCTACTCGGAACATCAGACACAGCTTTCCATCCCGCATGGAAATAACTGCATTTGTAGAAAAAACCAACGTTTCTGCCCTCTTCTTGGGTTGGGATATTTTCACAAACATGCAGCCAACCATGAAAGCGTTGACGATAGAACCTAAAACAGACTGCACTAAAAGCAGAATAATTCCCTCGGGACACTTGTCCGTGATGACCCGGTAACCATACCCAATGGTGGTTTCTGTCTCGATTGAGAATAAAAAGGCTGAGACAAACCCATTGAGGTTGCTGACGCATGGGGTCCACGTGCTGTCCCCTATATGATCCATATCTCCTCGCATGTAGGCAATTAGCCACCATATCATTCCAAAGAAGAGCCAGGTCACAGTGTAAACCATGACAAAAATCAACAGGTTGAACCTCCACTTGAGATCCACTAAGGTAGTGAAGATGTCAGTCAAGTAACGGTAAGTCTCTCTGACATTCCCATGGTGGACGTTGCATTTCCCATCTTTCCTAACATACCTCTGGATTTTTCTCTTGGCACATTCTTTGTTTATATTTTTTGGCAGATCCTCTCTAGCTTGTTTGGGCAACTTTGGCTGATGAATTGTGACAGGGCTTTCTATGTCCTGCTCCATTGAGTCTTCTTCCAGTACGTTAGCTGCCACAAAAAACAAACAAGAAAAAGGCAGGCATTATTTTTCTTATTATTTCTCTAAGTCAACACACAACTTCTTCCTGTATCACTGGCATGAAATTGCTATTAATAAAATTATCATCCTTGTTCTTTGTTTACCTATTAGATGCACAACACAAAAGTCAAAGCATCCTCAATTTATTGCTAAATAGAAATACTTTGAAGGAAAACTCTCGTTTCCTATCAGGTCATCCTATCTACACCCATATTTAAATTCTGCAAGATGTGTTTAAGCAGATCTTTCTTCCCCCTGCCCCCCTTTACAGTTTAATAAATGAGATTTCTTATGCACCAAGAAAGATCTTCTGGAAGATAGCAGATATAAATGAGGAAATGGATTAGCTTGGGGGTTTCAGTCAACAAGATGAGCAGAGAAAATGAGCAATTGTTGAGCTAGTTTTTCTATCAATTGCATTGCTATGGGGAAAGTATTAAGTAAGTATAAGGAGTTTTAAAAAAAAAACACAACAGTTTTTAGAAAGAACCAATCCAACTCTTGTTGAAAGAAAGGCAAGCTACAGTGTTATATATTCCAAGAGCAATTCAAGCACATACCCATAGGAAATCAATGTCATGCTGATACTGAGACAGGGAACTGCGTGTCCTTCTCCCCGTAATGTAAAACATACAGTACTTCAGAACATAATTTCATTTTAATTCAGGATGCCTGTGGCCTTTAATTCAAGTGTACCTTTCACTCTAATGGTATGGGCCTAAACAGCATTCCTCTGTGTCTTACAAGAGTTTAAAACCCAGAAACGACAGTAACTGCCTTTTTTTTTGGTTTTTTTTTGTTTTTTTTTTTTGTTTTGTTTTTTTCGTTTCCCAGCCTTTTGAGATAAATAGCTTCATTATGTTTATGTGCAAGAGTATACTGAAGAGGAGAGTGTTTTGTATGAAGCTGAGGACACAGTGAGGTCTGGGGAAACTGCTGTCTTTTACTGGAAACCCTTCTGCACTCTGAGGCTTGTGTCTGCAGGAATCTCAGCTCTTGAACTCCAGATTTTCTCCCTTCTGGCTACCTGCTATCATTCTGCTGCCAGGCTGTGAAGGTAAAAGTCTTCTGATGATTCTGCCTAGACACATGGCTCTGAATATAGTAGCACTGATGTGATGCTCTTCCTGATGTGATGCATATGGAGATGGTCTTCCTGAACATTCAGGGTGTTGACCTGCATGTCATTGGTGTGCCCTGCAATGGCCACAGGTTACACTACCATGCTGTGGTAACTGCTGTGCAGGCCCACGTGTGGGCTGCCCAGTCCTACTGTGGGTGGTGACCTTCAAGCAGAGAGCTGGGAGTAAGCAGCTTGGTTTGGGAAGCACTTCATTGCCCTGAGCTCTGGTTGCCCCTGAGTATCTCTTGCCTGGATGGAAAATGCGGGCATAAACCCATCAAAGCTCCTGCTTGACACAGCAGTCCTGTCTCTGGCACCCCATGGGCTTGGGTGTCTCTGCCTGGCACTGCCCTGGCCAGTAGACCCAAACCCTTTCACGTGGAGGAGCTGGGGAAGCCCGGGCTCTTGTCCAGAGGGAGGGTTGCACAAGGGGCTGCACTTGGTGGGACAGTATGGCTTACAGAGCATTTTAATCTTAGAAATGCACTGCAGAGCAGATCATCTGTGACATCCTATAGCACCTGTAGCTTCTTCAAGATGTGCAGACTTTTCACTGTGGAGGAAGATCACAGACCCTTGTGAAGTTTTAGAGGTGACTGAAATACCCAGGGAAAAAAAAAAAAAAGGGCTGTAGACCAGTTGTATCTCCTTCTGGTCTGCTCCAGTGCTAGCCAAGCCTCTGTTCAGCCCCATAGACTTTTCTGTGTTAAAAGAAAGTAGCATGGAAACCTGAGAGCAAATCTGTGTTTTAAGACTGTGCACTCCATCCTGTGTCACCTTTTCAGTTTGCTGCTGTGTCTAAAAAGAGCATTATTCAGGTTGATGGTAGCGGCAGCACTGAAAGTCGTGTCACAAGGCAGTCAGTTCTGAATGAACTTACCCCAGTTGGTGACAGTGTGCCTACTTGCATTATCACTAATGCTATGTAATGTATGATGAAATAAATACAATAAAAAGGCATTGCAGGAACCTTGTGAGGCAGGCTTAAGCCAAAGCCAGAAAATTTGAAGTTAAGGCTTCACACTTTGTGCTTAACTCTCTTTTGTGCCTAAGGAAATTTCAGTCCACAGGAGCTATCACATCACTGCAGTAACAGACCCCTCAAATACTTATGAACAGCCTATGAAGGCTCTGGCTTTTGAGGCTTTAATGGACTGTATGTTAGGCTATTAATGCTGGGTTAATGTGGTTCATTATCTTTAAGACATTATGAATATTTTGCTTTCCCCCGGTTAGATCCTGGTGTGAACACAGACAGGGTGCAGGTGTCCACTGTTGCTTTTGAGAATATACCTTACTTTGACCTTGCTATTAAAGGTAACCATGTCCTAGACCTCCCTGCCTGAGCATCTCTTACCAGGAACAGCAATGTGTACTAAAGACCGTAGCAGGGCTGGGAAGGGACACAGGTGCTGATTTTATTACTGACATCAGGAGATATCTGAAGGGACACCCTCATCCAGGGATGCCTGCCAGTCATATGCTGCACTCATCTATCCTGCTTTGCATACAGCATTTATTTCCTATAGAATTACTTGCTAGCAATGAAGCAGCTTTTATTCATACACCAAATTTTACTGATGCTTTCAAAGCCCTTGTGCACCATAACCTGCCTTTCCCATCTTTCACAGTATGTGAGCTGACCCACAAAGAGGTATAAGGGCCACATTTTCTCCAGCAGCCATACATTTTGCAGTGGGAGCAAGGAGCTGCTGTGCTCGCCAGTACATGGTAGTGGGCTGTTACTATCACTGTGAGTGGGCTTCAGAGACCTGCCACTTAAGGATTTTTCTTAACCTTGAGAGATCGCACGAGAGCTGACTCCCATCTGGATACGTAAGAGGGCAGCTTTGGACAACCAAACCCAGTGACTGAGTTTAACCTAAGTCTCTCTCAGTATAGCATCTTGCTAACACTCTTGCGGACATTTTAATCTCCCTGAGGGCATCTGGCCATTTTGTAAACTCCTCAGGCTCTTTCCAGTGCTGTCATTTCTCAACTCTCAGGCAGTTTCTGAGAAGAAAAATTAAGGTCAAGTTTTTAGTCTTTTTCTCTTTATGCAAGATGCCGTTTTACTTTTTCCCTCACCCAAATTCTCCTACTGTGAACCTCTATGGGGAGGATTCTAGATCAGAATCACAGCCCGTCACCCTCTTCTGGTCTGAGTTCTCACTCCAGAGTGAACCTTGGGAGCAGCAATTCCTGAAACAAGTGATCCAAGGATTGTGCATCTGTGTGTTTCCATGGAAATGCTTGACGAGTAAGTTTTAAACCTATGGCAGGATCCCTGTTCACTGCTAAGGCTGAGGAACAGCCACATATTGTCAGCGCCTTTGCCACAAAACACTTGGACTAATTATATTTTTACGTGATATCAACCCAATTAGCTTATGCTGTTTATTTCATTTAATTTTCCTTTTGGTTATATAATGGCTGTCATGGTTCCAGGAACAGGGGAGTGAATAGCAGCTATATCACTTGAGAGCTATTTTTACTCTCTCCGCTTTTCTTCATGACAAAAATATACACATATTAATCTGCACTGCAAAAAAAAAAAAAAAGTACTTCTGAACACTCCCCCCATCTCCTGGTAAATCTTATATTTCTTTGAACACAACAGCTAGGTAGCAGTACCACGCCAGTTTAGGACAATTTAGAGTATTCTGTTCAAAGTATTTGTTGCAGTGAGACTCTTAGGCAAATGCATACAAGACATATGAGATTTCAGTGACTTGTTTAATTTTCCAGCAATGACAAGGAGTTCTTTCCTAAATGAATCCCTGAATAGTTCACTTGTGTTTCATCAAGCAGTATGTACCAGCTATGGCTATAGTAGCAAATTAAATGTGTCCAGGCCTGTTCTTTAGCATGGAGGCTAAATGGAGTGGTACAGCCTACATTGGTATTATTGAACTCCTGTTGTTTTCAAAGCAGGGTAGTCACACACAATTTGCTTATTAGGAATAGTCTGTGTCCCATACTAACACCTGAAATGTGGCCAGGAATTGTGTGTACTCAGTTCTGCACTGGTCAAAACCATGCCAGGGGCTTTTCTAGGAATTTTACCATAAAAGGAGTTAGGTGCCAGTGCTCGGTAACATTTTATTTTCTAGTAAAGATGCAACCAGTGTGGTTGCCCTGGTCTTGTCTACTCCAGAATAACACTGGAAAGGCACAATCCAGTGTTTCCAAGCCTGTATTTTTATTTAGAGTCTGTAGAATAGCGTGAATCTAGTGTCAACAACAAACTATGAGCGTTACAGGAGATGCTCTCACGGCCTTCACGGCTGTGAATGTAACATATTACTATAATCCCTAAGCAGTCATTTTATCATTAGCAATGTGACTTTTTTGTACTTTGCTACATTTCAGGGATCTTGTCATGGTACTGAACAAATACAAAGCAAAAGGAGGCATGTAAAGGGCATACTTGCCTAATTCAAATACTCTTAGCCTATTTTGATTGTATACTGTACTAGAGTTGTAGGATGATCTGCAAAATAATTGGAAGTTTCAACAGAGAATATTGCAAATCATAACTGACCTTTTTGCAATGGAAGCTGATATAGAGAATTCAGTGAATGTTTCACTGTAATTTAGTAAGCTAATTTTATCTCTTGAAACATAGTTGTGAACAGTTTGTATGCAAAATCGTTGAAAATTCACTAATTTAAAAATAATTTATAATCTACGAATTGTTCTTGTGGGCTTTGTTGCACATATGCAAATGTCAAGCAGACATTGTTTTGACTGTGATTTCTGTCTGCATGCAGGTCATTCCCCACTTTCCTGATAGGATGTGGGCAACTTTTAAGTTACACAGGTGTTTGCATTTCTAAGGTCCAAGCTTGCCTTTTGTGAACAGTCTTCAGTATTCACCTCTCATTTGCTGTGATCACAAGCCTTCCTGACACTGAACTCATCTGTGGAATATTTGGCAGTACCAGGTGGCTATTTCTGTTCCCTGCTGCCTCTGTGAGGTTGTTAGGCTTTGACATCAGGAGAAGAAGGCGTAGCACTGCACAGCACAAGACATTTTCTGCAATGTTGAATACTCTGCTCTAAGTCTGGGTCTTTCAGTTTCTTCTCTTGCTTGTGATGCAAGGAGAAGTCAGTGAGAGGATGCAGACAGGGAGCTTTTGAAATGCTTTGTCCAATCTCTGGCTGGTTTTAGTCATCATTTCAGAGCTTTGTAAAATCTTGTGTCTGATGAGCTTTGAGGACACAGGCACAGATATTCTCAAGGTAGAGGGAGTTTTGCCTGTTTAATGAATTCAGCCTGTATCACTCTCAGTGAGACCAGGTAATCCGTACTGTGAGACACTGTGTATTACCACTAGATATGAGGAGAAAGAGTCTTGTTTACAGAAAAAAATGGAGCCTTTTATCATCGGCTAACAATTGTAAGCAGGCATTTTCACAAAATGCAGATTTTCTTCCAAAACAGAAGTGCTGTTGAAATCAATGCAAGATTGTCTATCCACTCGTCTGGGAACTTTGTCTAGTCCTCATTTTGAAATGTTGATATGTTCAACAAACACTGACTTGGCAAATTTCTTCAAGAACCAATTTACTTATTTGCACCCATAGAATCATAAATATAATTTTGGAGAGAGCTTGTGTGTGATTTAAATTTATTTCAGCAGCACTTTTCACTAGAAGAAATGCGAAGTGAAGTGTATTTAAGGTTAGAAAAGAGGCTGTAAGGATGATACCTTGTTTTTCATACTACCTGTTTCATCATTGCCTTCTAATCCAACTTGATAAAAATAATGTTCTACTGTTTTCATTTTTTTAAAGCCTTTTTTAAAGCTGCAAAAATCAGCCTGAGTAATGCTTTGCCACTATGCAGTACAAACTTCTCCATTAATTTCTGATTCTTGGCGCTTTTACTATGGAGGATGGAAAATGAAGCTGATAGGTGAATTTAAAAAAACACACCTCCATTTTGGGTAGTCATTTGACCTTGTAGTTTTTGTTTTGGATTCTAACCAATTTCATTACAGAATTTACCACTAAAGGCTCCAGAATGCTGTTTTTACATCTGCTTTGCTAAATGTAGCTTCATTTGAAACACGGGGAAGTGAAACAGCCTTGGCTTTGTTACATATATGGGGAAGTGTAAGAAGGCTACACGTTCTGAACCTGCAAAGATGTGTGGAGACAGTTGATTATCAATGTCTTCTGCCTTTCAATAGGCTGGGGATCCCAAATCGGATTATGAAACTTGTTTACTACCTGAAGTCTGAGTGCTTGGAGTCAGTGTGAATTCAAAGCCATCTCTAGTGCAAACGCCTGGCATTGCAAATAGATTTCTGGAACAAGGAGAGTTTGCTGTTGCGTGTCTCTGCTCCTGTAGTTATACATGATTTTTACTAGACTTTTGGCTTCCAGAAAAGCTTGAGCTAGGCATTCAGAGCAGGTAAGGGTTCTCCTGAAAGCCTATGAATCTACACAAATTAACATATTGTTTTTGATGTCAGCATACATGCTGGCCAATCACTCCCTTATGTATGTGGTAACTGGGACCAATGTCCACAGTGTTTTTTGGGGGCCCAGTTCAGTGCAGTCCATATTCTATTCTTTTGAGCAGACTCAGCATATGTATGGGCTATTGCTGAAATTGCACATGCGCTCTGGCTTGTGCCATGTTCTTATTCATCATATTCCCCTGGATGGTACAAGTAATCTCTGTCACAAGTTATTAGTTAAATTAACAACTCCTTCTTATCCTTTATGGCAGATGGTCTATCACCCTTGTATAGTGCTCACTACCTCTTCACGCTCAGCCTCCCCACTTTTGTTCTCTTGCTCTCATCAGAAAGGCAAAAGCAAAGATGTTTTCATCTTAAGCAGGAAATAAATAGGAAAGTCTGAGAGTGAAAAATCTGTAGAGATATAAAAGGGAAACAAAAAGATGTCCCATGCAATTTCAAGGAATGTTGAACAATGGAGACCAAGCTCATCATGATGGAGGGAGCAGTGGTTACTCTGAAAATCATGGCCTACCAATGGAAAACTAGACAATGGAGACCTACCAGAAAGTCAGAATGAGGATTCCTGGCCACAATAAGTGCGTAAGGTTGGCATTAAAATCACAGACTTTTGCATGCCACTGATCATAGCAATGTACAAAGAAGTCAGAGAGAAAGAAGTCTATCAGAAGTCTATCTCTTTTGAAAAAATCGGAACTCAGTCTTCTTTGCTATATTGTTTCTGTCCTATCCAAAACCAAGGCAGAAACCAGCCTCCTCAGAAGCAGTGTTTCTTCTGAGAAGGTGAGAAAGATAGAAAGGATGCATTTTTTTGCACTTGGAAAAAGCATACTAGTGTCACTGCTGCTGCAGCAGTGGAGCAAGGCCAGTGATAGATACAGCCCAGGTGTCCCACCCTGAGTCACACCACCTGGCAACGTCAGACCTGGGCTCATGTCTAGTATTTCCATATGGAAAAACCACTGACAACTGCTGGAGTAGGGATAATAGGGATCATTAATGATCCACAGTGCTGACAGGCCTTAATAGCCACAAATACAGGCCACATGCTTTCTTTCTGATGCCTCTGTGTCAGATGTATGTCTTACTGAGTTGCTATAACATGTCATTGTCTGACATGCCCCCTGAGAGATTTCTTTTTGCAGTTACTCATCTCCAGCTATATCTGCCAGTTACTATCACCTATACTAATGCTAAAATTTTTACTTGTCAGTTGCACTATTTCTTCAGAGATTTACTAAGAACTCAACTTTTCATCTCTGTGGGGTGTACCAGGAAAAAGAGAAAGCATGAAGGAAGTATACTGACCTGAGAGCTACCAGTTTTAAACTGCTTGTGTTTACATGCTTTAGCTGCTAGAAATAATAAATAAATAAATTTTAAACCTGCTTAAAATCATAGGATATTTTGGATCAGAAAAGACCTCTAAAGGTCTGTTGACCAACCCTCTGCTCAACACAGGACCAACTTCACAGTTAGATTACGCTGCTTAGGGCCAAGGACTGGAGTTTCCACAGCCTCTCTGGGCCCTGTCCCAGTACTGCACCTCTCGCATTAGGGACTTTTTTTTTTGTTTTGTTTATATCCTATTGGAATTCCCCTCATTGCAACTTGTGCACATTTCTCCTTGTTTTTCCCTGTGCACCTCTGAGAAGAGTGTGACTTCGTCTTCTCTGCTGCTTCTCTCTTGCATCTGAGCTGTTGATTTACAGCTCAGCCTTCCCTGGAAGTTGTGTGAGGGCTGGTTAAATCCTGGTTTCTCCATATATTTTCCTTATTGATTACATGGAAAAAGTGTATTTTCAAGTTCAGTGAGAAGAGATGGGGAGAATCAGTTCCTTTTTATCATGATTTTTTCCCCTTAAAATTTTCCCAACTGAAAACTCTAGAAACAAAAATTAGCTAATCAGCCGAACATTTTATATAGATAATTCTGACTCATTTAATTCTGCGCCCATAATGTCACTGATATCTGGGGAGTGCACCTGGTTGTTTCTGGAAGCTGAAGTGTAAATAGGAGCTTGGCTGGCCTGTCCAATGCTGATTATCTGTACTGCTAAATGTTAGCAAGCTACCCGTCTTGACTTTGGCCCGTGCCAACCAGTGCTCTGAGACACAATTATGTGGGAATGTTTTGGGAGATAGTATGTGCCAGGGACTTCTCCCATTAGACAGTGTGGATGACATTACATCAGGTTTGGCTTCTTTGACTCTCATCTGCCAACACTGTCCCAGCAGGCTTTGCTCCCTCAGACATCTTCACAGGCCTTCAGACCACCTCTGTGTCAAGCAACATATAACCTTGGTGTGCAACACAAACCTCATGTTATTTCAGATAATTTGAAATGGAAAAAAAATCACTGTCAATATACTAATTATGCCTTAAAACCAAGAGAAATAAAGTCCATACAAGACTCAGGGCCATGTGCTTTGCAGCATGGCATGGGCATCCTGTACCACTTGCTCTTGAGGTTGCTGAGCAATTCCTGGCCTGGTGGATGTAGTCAGATTGGTGATGGGTCTGGTGCATATTCCAGTATGAAAAAAGTTTAGAAATCAAGGCAGGCAGCTGTTGCCTTTGTCAAAGTCTATCTGTCTAATTAGGTCACTAGAGAGGAGAGAAATACACCCTCACAGAAGGAACTGATACCACCAGTTTTCCCAATTTTATGTTGTCAGGAGAAGCCAGCCCTTCTCTCTTCTTGCTGTTTTCTATTCCAGCTCCATTTCTGTCCTTTTTTGCCTCCCTTCCTGAAGTAAGAATGGCTTCAGTTGAATCTTCATCCTTGGGATAGCCAAATACAATTTTTGCTTGCATTGCTGAACAACCTTGAGACAGCTTTATGCCTGAATATTCATTGAGTTCCTCGGGCAGGTGTTGGAACCATCTTGACTGCTGCACAGACATACTCTGACAGCTTGCTTTGCTTTGATCAATGAACTATCATAAATATAAGGCATAGGAAGAATGGAGAAGAATATTTTTGTTAGAAAGAAAGGACTTAATTCAACCGATATGTTGTACCGGTCAACTGAATCCAATAACTTAGGCAATGGAGTGAGCCTGCAGACCAAACACGGGAACTTCTAGTACTTTCCTACAGAAATGGGCAGAAGACGCTATATAGTGATACAAATCTTGGACCCTATCAGCTTGGGGTTAGGGGATCTGAGATTGAGAGTGTTTACTTTTTCTCTGCGAAACATCACCTACGCTGAGTAAACTTTCCCTAGGTCAAGATCGTTGTTCACCAGGGAAACCACCTGGCATTGGCGCTCTGTGTAGTGTGTGTCTGTGTGCGCTGTGATGCAAAGTAGCACACAGACACACACTACCAACTACTACTTTGAAGCTGATTTTGCCCACCAGCAGCTTCCTAGTGAAGCAAGGCTTTGGGAGAGAAATTTGAATGCCATTGGTAAAGATAAAATGTTTGAGCTAGAAAGAACTGTCACTTACTGTATCTGCTTTTTCAAGAAATATGGACTACAGAGAACAGAATGACTTTGAAGTACAGATACCTGATTCCTCCTACCTCCCAATTCTCAAAAGAATGAAAAAATGTCACAAACTCCCTTCTTTAAATTATACTTTTTTCCCCCCTCAGTTTACATCCACTTGCACCCCAGACAGGCTGCCCCCAGGTCACAGACATTGCCTAAGCATATTGGTATTCCTTCTGCTCTTACTGTTGCATGAAGTTACAGAAGGGGCTGGAAAGTGGAAAGAAGGGGAAAATTGAAACAGCCAAGAACTTTTTTTTTTTTTTTTTTTTTTTTTAAAACTGGTAGCGGGGATTTCTTTCTTGGTAACTTCTTTGCCATCAAAGGAGGCTTTCAGTGGCTTTTGCTTCTAGGCAACATATTTCAGAAGAGCAAGGTGCTCCTCCCTTACAAAAACCAGGCAGGATTTTAATTTAACCTTTTTGCACACTTGAGAAGAAAAATAACTGATTTTTTTTTTTCTCATAGGTGCTGGGGAAACAACATTTCTGTCATTGCTGTTGTCTCTTGTGGTAGTAGTGGATGTATGCAGTTTTCTGAGGGTTGAGGTGAGTGACATTGTTCATTTGGCCTAATATACAAAATCAAACTCTTGCATCCAAACATTGCCTCACAAATAACATTGTCTCAGAGACCAGGCTGTCAACCCTCTTACAATTACTTAGTTTATCTGAACAGCTGCCATGTTCTTTTCATCCCCCTCCTCTTCCGCTTCTTACTGTAACTGATACTGTGATTCTGGCTGCTTTCTTTAAGCTAAATAATTAGGCCATCACTAGCTTCATCCTCTTTAAAGAAGTCACAGTGAAATACAAAGACCTAGTTTCTTGCTACTGACTTCCCATTTCTACTTTGTTCAGTTTATAGACTGCAGAGAAAAAATAACTGAGAAATAAGGCTGGAAGTGACATTTTAAAAGACATGTAGAAGTAGAGAGCTTTAAAAAGCTCCATATTTTCAGCTGGGTCAATGTTTTGTTTCAGGTTGTGGTATTTTGATAACCTGGAAATGGTAAGTGCACAACAGTACTTTAGCCGTGTTTCCTGAGGAAATGAGCCTTATCCATCACTGTCTGGCCTCCCACCAATCACTTTTGAAACTTTGGCTGGTATTTAGGCTTCTAGATTTCTTTCAGATCTTCAGTTAGATTCTGAAAGGTAGGCATAGCAGCATTTGACAGCGTGTGGAGGTCTCAGAAATACTAAATTCCTACCAGTGTCATGAAAACAGACTGAGTTAACCACATTATCAGATGCCAAGGAAATTGTATAAGAGGGAGCTACAAGAAATGTTTCTTTTTCATGAGCACTGCTGCTCCCAAAGCTACAGTCAAATATTTTTTTCAAACAGCTATTCCACTCAATGTCCCTGTAAGTATCTTCAAAAAAATTCCTCTTGCTTTGTGTGGAGCCTGAACTGTTGTGTGCTTTTATTTTCAGGCAGTAAGAGTGCAGCCACAGGCTGGATCTGCTCATATTCGATAGAAGGACTTCCACGTTCAACAGCAGGTTTGTTTAAGTCAGAATTTGTGGCTTTGTTTACAAAGCAAATTGAGTGCAAGAAAATAAAACTGACTAAATTCATGCTTTTCTTTCAAAAAAATTGTTTAGCTGAATCAGAACAAAAGATTGAATGAACATATGTTTGGTTTCAACCCAGATTTTTTTCTTACCTTTGTCCAATTTGAATGAAAAACCATATACCCTTTCTAGAGTTATCATCAGCTATATAGGATTTTATACCCGTCTACATATGAATTTATTGCAAGATATATTCAAGCAAGTACAATGTCAGACCCGACATGACTGCAAATACAAGTCAAAACCACAAAAAAATGTTTCCATGTCAACAAACAGTGACTTTTTGTCTTGAAATAAACAATTCAATGGTGTTTAAACTACTATTTACTACGTTATTTCACTTAAGCTGTATAATAGAGTAAATAGGCCTATAACCTTGTTTGAAAAAAAGAATCAAAGGAGTGGCTGTGAAATTGCTATAATTGTTATAGTTGCTGTTGTCCTTTTCTATAGGAAAATAGGTAGCAAAAAAGAATTGTAAGCACTGAAACATTTTGTAAATTGGGTTCAATTTGACCAACAGGATTCTCCAAAATATTTTATGAAGAAAAGACATTTAATTTCAGTCTTTCAAAAATGTGGTATTTTGTCTGTGAAATACTGAAATCTAGGAGCTTTTAGCAACTGTTTCAAGACTCAAATTTTCACTCCTTTTCCTCAGTAAAATTTTATCTAGCTTTAGGAAACAAAATTGTTCAAAATTATTAAATAACCTCAAAATGGAGGGATTATATGAAAGACTTCATAATGCCTATTTTGGGTGAGGTAGGAGTTTTCTCTGTTTTTCTTACCTTGTTAAAAAGAATGTAAAAGTTTTTTATTTGTTCTTAATTTTTCCTATATTTTTTTCTAGTCAGACTGAAATAATTCATCATTCACCAGGATTGTCCCATGCACAAGTCACTAGATCACCAGTTTCCTCTCTGAAAATAAGGTACTCTGAGGGGTAATTGGAAGCTTTCTGAAAGAGTAGAAAGGGTTGATGTTGCTGGGCTCTCACGTTATCCCAGCTAGCTAGATTGCAACATCCAGTTTCTGCAATCTGTTAAGTCGTCTTGATGGAATTTGATTCCGGGTGGCTGAATGTAGAGTTTAATACAAAAATAAAATACTAGTGTGGATTTAAATTTTCTTTCTACAGTATGTATGCATTGTACCAGAAAAGGCTGAACTGGTATTATGTTTTTTAAAAAATTGACGTTCTAGATGGTACATTAGCCTTCAGCTAGCAAAGCCCATCTATCTTTATTAGAACTAGCAAAGCTCAGCATAAGCACAAATAATTCAAAGCTTTCATAGCCTTTAGATGTCTTGAGGGCAAAGAGTAGTTCTGCTTTTCACATATCCCCTGATTTATATAGGGAGAAGAAGTACCTCTGAAATGTATGAGCTATCTTTCAGGGATTTGCTCATGGACATCAGAAATACTGATTGCTCTTGTTAGAGCTACTACATGAAATAATAAATATGCTGGAATAATATGTGAATTCTATGTCATTTTTAGTCAGGTATATGTAGTCAGACTCACTTAAAGAAATAGTTGATAAAGCAGCCGACCTTTTAAAGAGAAAACAGCTCCTGTACACTAAACAAAAGTATTGAGCCCACAAAGAAGAGCTTTTGATAAATGAATAGACTGGTAACAAGAACACACTACTTGTGCACCCAAAAGCAAAACTAAATGGAAAACTGAGGTGTTAAAAATAGAGCTTGGCTGCTTCAGAGCGGCTTTCCGTGCATGAAATGAGTGGAACATTTGCAAACAAATTAGCCTGTGTATTGGGTAGGTTTCTGTTTTTCTTCTGTTTAAAACTGACTCAAAGCCCATTTGCGAGGCTGAGGCCACTGGCAGAAGGGTAATGCTTTGCCAGGAATAATGTGGAATTTCAGCTGCCCAACCTGGTGACTGAGTTCCCCAGCAGCTCAGGCACCATAGGAGCCCACCAGACTGGTCCAAAGGATGTGACTAGTGGCTTTGTAGATGCCCAGCCTTTCTCAATAGGAACAGCAGTGCAAAAGAAGGCTTCCAGATCAGAGCATGTGAAGTGGCAGAAATACACATGGATTCATTTTTAATGAAATGACAGAAGCTTTAAAGGGTTTTCCCTAGAGGTCTGATTCTGTTATCCTGGTGTGTGTGTCAAGATGGGAGCATCAGAGGACATGGGTGTGTGGGAAAGAAATTAGGATCCTGGGATGTCAGAGATGTTAGGGTATGCTGGGCAGGCAGAGCGAAATTTCTGGGCACTGCATGGGTATGTTTAAACAGGCAGGAACAGAAAATACAGGCAGGGAGCTAGTGAGAAAGGAGGAAGGAGGCACTGCAGTAACAGATGAGGGACTAGATTTGTATTTAGAAGGGTGACAGGAAAGATTTTACGGTATTCAGACTTGTCTGGGTTTGTGCATAGGATAAGATTAATTTGTGGTTTTACAGAGAGTACCTTTGTCTTTCACTCCTTTTCCTGGTGGCAAAACACACTCCTTATGCTTGAGCTGTAGCTTCCTTCTCTTTGTCCAGGAAAATGGTGATGGGATTAATGATGATGGGACAAGGAAAAACAGTCCTTTTAGTGACTTGCCTGAAGCCTTACTCAACTCCTTGACTCTCATCTGTGGGTCTCAGCTCTTGCTGGGTGCCTCAGGACTTGGATGTACCAGCTGTGAGGACAGAGTACCTGCACAGCTCCCCTGGCATCCCGTGGATGGCAAGATGAATCTTAATATTCCTTATTTCCCATCTGAGACCTGAGGGCCAAGGGCTGCTTGGCTTCCAAAAAGGAAAAAGAAGGTGTTAGTCACAGCTCCATTTGTTCTCAGGGCCAGGAGCTACC